TCTCTTTTGTGAGCAATTGGTGAAGTCTGCAGAAAATACCCTGGGAATGAGTGCAAGCTCTCCTGTACCCGCAGCTTCTGCAGTCACCTACATGCACCACAACTCTTAGCGGATATCTTCTTATGCCTTTCTTTGGCAGTCTTGTCTTTCTCTTAGGACCTGCCCTAGGGAAGCCAGGCTCGAATCCTGTGTCTTCTAGGAGGAATTTATCTTTCTTTAGATTTCAGGCTAATTGGTTGCCTTGTGACCTGAACTCTCTGATGGGTTCAAGAGAGTTATAATTTTGTAGATTATCTGGCTTTTTCTTATTGGTAAGGCAGGAGCTTGTCATTACAGTTGTTTTCTTTCCAAGTTAAAGCTGGGTCATTTTTGATATGGAAAATGTTTATGGAGACAGGATGGCAGTGGAAAGCTTGCAGTGACCCGTGGGGATTAGTATGAAACGGGTCTGTAGCTCCTGGTCTCCAGTGTGGTCATGGCTCTGCCCTGATTGGAGTTCAGCAACCTGGGCTGGAGGCTGAAGGTTGACTAGCAGAGCTTATCTAGACAGTGGGGATCCTGGGGGCTTCATATATCTTGGTCTGGACTTCCAGGGCAGAATGAAGCTGATCACTGCTGTAGCCAGGAGAGGTGGGTGGCCTTCTAGCACTGGCTCTTATGTCTTGGCAAATCATCGTTGAGTGCATTCACGTCTTCAGTGGACTAACCTTTGCTATAAATCCTGCGCCTCAGGATCCAGCAGTAGCTGAGGCTTCGTGTCCTGAGGACTCTTGCTTATTGTTCAGAGAAAAGAGTATCATCTGCTAACACTGATGGTTTCTGTTTCAGAAAAACAATTCACGAGTGTCTTTTAACAAAAAGTTTCCCTTAAGACACACCACAAAGAAAAAAGGTATGTCAAAGAAATAGAAATTTGTATATTCTGTAATAACGCAGCCATGGATGGAAATACGTGCAAGATCCTCTTATAAACAGCTGGCATAATGTAGGCTAAATTTGTTTCTTGAAATACTGTTTAAAATATGCAGAGAACACTCAGTAGGGAAAAGATCTTCCTTTCCGTCCACCACCTCCTCCTTGCATCCCATAAAAACCTCATAATAATATCACGAAATTACAAATTTTTAAAGTTTTTCATGGCTGTTTATTTGTTACCATAATTCTTTTTCCAATTGTAGTTTTAAAAGCAGTTTACAAAGAGTTTTCATGTATATGACTTTCTGGCGTAACATATTAGCCATAGAGAGAAGAAAAACGGTGTATCACAGTATTGATTGATATAATGCTTGGGAAAGTGCTTTGCAAATTGTAAAAATCTTTTGTAGGTATTAGCTATATGTTTTTTAATTACGTGCATCAGATATTTGATAAACGAGGAAACTGAGGCATGGAGAAGGAGGCACCCTGCCCCACAAGGTCACAGGTCATTTCCCACGGTGCTGACCTTGACACGCGCCGGCTGGCACCGGCTCACAGGCTGCGCCTTCTGAGGTTTGAAGGTCCTCTCTCTGTGGGTGGTAATGGAAAGCCCAGCGGCTCATTCCACGGCTTTGCGTTGTGTGTAAGATCTTTATCAATAACCTTTGTGCTCCTTGGATGTGATTGAGTCCCCCAAATAAAGCACCTGCAGCCCGCATTAAAAAAGTATGGTAATTAAGATCGTATGAGATAATATGTCCTATGAGATTACCTAATAGTAAGGATTACCTAATGCCATGTGCATTGCATCTCTGTGGCCTTCCTCCCTCCCTCCCTCTGTCCCTTCACCCTCCCTCCCTGCTTCCCTCCCCTCCCTCCCCTGCCTCACTCCTTTCCCTGCCTCCCTGCCTCCCTCCCTTTCTTTCTCCCTCCAATTAAGTGGACCTGTGTGTGAGGACCTGAACGTTGTTCCTCTTGAAGACAGATATAGAAGGAGTCTTGGCCAAAGGAGAGGTTGAGAGAAGCTCTGCTAGCTCTCAGGGAGGCAGACAAGTCACACCCCAGCCCATCGCCCATCACCCATCACCCATCACAGTGGCTGACTTCTCTTAGAATTCAGACTTGGTTAAAATCAGATTAAATTAACCCTGAGGGGAGCCTGAAAAAGGAAGAGAGCATCTCAGAGCTGCCTGAAGGCTACATATGGAGTAGAGGACATCTGGGCCTTGTTGGGCACCAAGAGGCAAAGCCATGTGGAAGGGGAGGCAGCAGGGGCAGGGCTGGGGGTGGGGGTCCACTGGTGTGTTGGAAGCAGCAGCCTGGGACTGGCGAGAAAGGAACACAAGAGGGTCACATGGTTCTGAGGTCCCAAGCTGGAGTGAGAGCTGTCTGGGCAGTGATCTCCATGCTGTTCTCTGTGAACCGGGAGAAAAAGGTGAAGCAACACCAGCTTACTTGGGACCCATCATCTATTATGCTATTTGGAGTTTCAGCTTCAGAATTTCATTTTAACTGTTGATATTCCTTCAGTCAACATCTTTCAATAATTTGTATTGAATGTTGGGGAAATATACTTTCCATTGAATCCTGGGGAATGTTTACCTTCTGATTTTCTCCTTTTGCTGGTAACTTAAGAGAAAAGACATCATTCAGTGTGATAAATGCCGACAAGATTATCAGAGAAGCTTTCTCTGCTTTCAAGAAAAGTGGTTTATAGAGGGGTTCCCCCAGTTACTAAAATACAAAGGTGCTATTTTCACCACATTGGAGCAGAAGCGCATTTGGGCCCCAGATCGCCACGTAGTGACCAGAAAGAACCCACTGGGCGTAACCAGTACGTCCAGAGTGTCCATCCAGTTTCAGAATGTGGGTCTCTTTTCTTTTTGTTATTTGATTTTTAACTGAAGGATGCTCTTCAAGTGACAGTTTGCCCCAGAAAAAAATATCAGTGGGCAAAATGTTGCCTCTTTTCCCCTTTCAGCCCTTCCTCTGCCCTTTCAAGTCAAAGTTCTGAGTACTTTCAAAATTCACATGAAAGTCTGCAGACTTTTATTGAGCCTTAAGTTTATAAAACATACATGGAACCATCTGCTGTAATAATTTAAAAATATGTGTAGATTATAAACTGCCTTTGTAGACATTTCCTTTTGATTTTTATTTTCACGGTAACAACCTTGCCAGATGGTTATTCTCAACAGAGTGATTACCTGTCTTGTGCTTGGTGACAAAGGTGACAATAGAAACAGCAGAAATTGAAGCAGATTGCCTCCTCTTCCCACCTATACTCCATGGCCAGGAAAGTGGTGCACTGGGTGCGGGGCGGGTGCCACTCACCCGGGGCTGCCCTCTCTCTGTGGGCTTGCCTGTGGGTTCCTCATTATGTCAGCGCTGGGCAGCCTGGGAAGGTGACTGTGAGTTATTTTATAAGCTCACTAGTTTGTTTCCAAGTGCCCAGTGACCCTTTGGGCTCTACCCAACAGCATCATAGTTCAATTACAGCCTTCAAGGTCTCTGAGCCGTTTCTCACTATGCTGCACTGCACAGGGCTGTTGTAGTCTGTCAGCCAGTCTGAGGCCACCAGAAATTGTGGCCCAGCAGGCAGATTTATTTGGGAGGAGGGAATGAGCCCATTTCACACTTCACTTAAAAAATGTTACCTTTCCTGCCGAATGCTTGTGGCTGTTAGAGGCCATCAATCCTACCAAATTCTGTAGAATCAGCTGCTTCAAAGTCCTGGAGTTCTTGCCACTTGCAACACCTTGTTTCTGAAACATTGTAGCGCCTTGTGATATTTTGTGAGTTTGCAAGTTTCATTTTTCTGGGAGAAAAAGGCAATGTTAAGTCCCTGAAGTTTTCATTCAAGGCAGTAGTAAGTTTTTCTTTAGCTCACTGGGAATCATTTTTGGCTGTTTTATTGAAGTTATTTTTGTTTGTTTTTGAGAATTAGGAAACAGACGGGTATTCAAAAAGAGGGGACAAAAGAAACCAAAAAATACCAATTATTTTCCCTATCACTTTTCAGTCTGCTTTACTTTGCTTTGAAGTGTTCACAGTTCCAGTGGCCCCAGCACAGGAACACATGGTCACGCTGCACAGGGCCTGTGATGCTGGCTTTAGAAATCCTCTTCTTTTGCAGTGTATGTGCAATGCAACCGCTTCTTACTTCTCAGTTTCTTTGTGTGCTGTGAGCCTGAGAATCTGGATGCATAGCATTTTCAGGCAGGATTCTCATTCCATAAGGCTTCATTAGATGTCTTTTTTTTTTTTTTTTTGCATTGATGTTAGTCAATCTGGCAACCAAGGAATGGTTAAAAATGAATTTTTAACTTTTTTATGATCATAAATTAGCTTGGCTCTGTGATGAACTGTTATTGATTGTTGTTCAAAACGCTGCTGGCAGTTGGTGACAGAGTTGAGCAGGCAGGGCGGGCCCTCGTGGAGAGTGGAGCACAGTTGCATGCCCGACTTGCCTTTTTGATCACATGTTCCCAGTTCAAAAGCACATCCTGGCCGTGCTGTGCAGTTCCTATAATCTTTTCCTGTCTATTTTGACAGCCTTTTTTGACTTGTGATAAAAGCCTGCTCCAAGCAAAATTAATCATAATGGTTTATTTTTTAATTCTCTTTTTATATCTTTGGGTAAAGCTACAGAGATTTACTCCCCTGAACCAGGCTTCTGTTCATTTTCCCTGCTGTTTTTATGATTTTTGTTAAAACCACTCTAAGCAGAGTCGAAAATCTCTGGGTTTCAGGGCCTTCGGTCTCTCTCACTCCTTACCGAATCCTTTCGTCCCTCCTTTTCCTCTTCCTGTTAGGTGGCCGGTGGATAAAACCTCTGCTTTTGATGGCTGTTATCAGTTATTGACACATAGTGTGAAATTAACTCAGTGTCAGCTTCTGAAGCTTGCTGCTCTAAGTCTTAGCTTCTGTTGTGGAATGGAAGTGGCCGCCCTCTGTGAAGAAGCCGTCAGAGCATCTGAATGTTAGTGCCATATAGGCTGTGAGGGCAGCCCTGGGCTGCAGATAAGGATGTTGGCCATGCAGAAAATTATTTCACTGAATATGCATCTTATTTTACCCAGGGAAAAGGAGAGCTGACAGAAAACCAGATGGTTAATGTTTGCTTGGTGGTTCAGAGCCCTGATGCTTGAGCTGAGAATGCTTACATACCAATCAGCTTACCTAAATGCATCTCTGCAGTTTCCCAAATATTTGGTAGGTGAGAACTTAGCCACTTGGTATTTCTTGTGATCCTGAAATAATGAGTGCTTTTATTGGAGGCTTTTTGTTGTTGTTGTTCATCCATTAGTGATGTTCTGTGATCTTTTGCTCAGGTGTAAAATGATGCCTAGGACTGCAGTGTGGTGCAGAGGAGAGCAAGGCCTGGGCCTGCATCCACAAGACCTGGCAGTAGCCCTGGACCTGCTGTCGAGGGGCTGTTTCCACTCAGGCCCCCATTGCAGAGGCCCCATGTCATCACTGGTAAGATGAGGCCAAGGAATTAGATGCTCCTTCTTGGTTCCAACTCTTGGGAAATTTGTGAACTCCACACAGGTTCAGCCCTTCCTCTTTTCTTCTTGAGCCTGTTGAGCATGAGCAGAAAGCTGCACCCTGTAGCCCCGACCCCACCCTATGTGACTGGGCAGGTTAAAGGGGAACCATGGGGCCAGAGGCTTGGTGGTCCATTTGGGCTGTGTGGTGGGACTGACCTTGACTCACTGGGGGTGGTTGTTTGAGCTCTGAATCCAGACTGTTTGCCTTTAGACAGAACAAGATCCAAACAATTCTAGAAGAATGTTCACTACATTTTTCTTTGCCTCAGATACTTTGCTTACTACTAAATGTAACTCTTTTCTGAGAATCTCAAATTTCTGTTTCTTTCTTTGTTGGCAGAACTCACTCACTCCTGTGTGTCATTTGATTTAAACGCAGCCTTTCTTCAGTCTCTTGGGGTAGATAATTTTAGCCTGATAAAATGATCTTTTGAGTTTTGTAAAATTGTTTCTGAGCAATTCCAAGTAGGGTTTACTTGGCAACTTTCCTCAGTAGTGATCAAAGATCGTGTGCTTTGGACACAGAGAAGGAAGATTTCCTTTGCCTTCCTGGTAGCCATAAAAATATGGGGTAGTTTTCTCCTATTTGTAGACAGCCCTCTTCCAAATGATCTTGAAGAAGGTGTCATTGGATGCATTAAAATTGCCAAGAGGATTTTAACATGTACTTATAGTTGTCCTTTGCTCAATGATGGGATGTGTTCTGAGAAATGCATTTTTAGATGATTCTGTCCTTGTGCAAACGTCAGAGAGTGACTTGCACAAACCTCGATGGCATAGCCTACTGCACACCTAGGCTATGTGGTGTAGCCCACTGCCTAGATTGCAAACCTGTACAGTAAGTGACCATACTGAATACCATAAGCAACTGTAACACAATGGTGAGTATTTGTGTGTCTAAACATATTTAATCATAGAAAAGGTACAATCAGATATGGTATTATAATTTTAAGGAACCACCATTGTACATGTGGCCTGTTGTTGATGGAAACATGCTGCACATGATTGTGTTTAAAAAATCATTTAAAAATGCTTGAAAATGGAAAGAGGAGAAGCAAAATGTTAATCAGAGGAACCCAGCACCCAGACAAACTTTCCTAATTGAATTCAGCCGTGTGTGTCTGGTGGAACATGTAGAAGTCAGAGTCCTGGGATCAAACACCAGCCCTTCCTGCTTGACATTGGTGATGTCTAAGGCAAAGCACTCCACCTCTCTGAATGTTATTTCCTCATCTACAATAGGCACTGTTGTGATGTTGAGTGAGAAAAGGGATCTAAAGGCTGAAAATGAAAACCATGTGCAAGTGGAAGGTAGCCCTGCATTCTTCACTTTCCTCTTCCGGACTTTCCCCGAGTTCCCTATGTTGGTTCTGCTGTGTCGTGTGCAGGAACCAGTATCTCCTGGCATGGCAAGGGACTCTTTCTACTTGCATATCTTCATCTGGGTCCTAATGTAATTTCCAGTCCCCTCTGCACACCTGATTTTGATTGTGCCTCTCTTTGACATTGGATGATTACTGTATGCCAAACAGTATCGAAATCGAAACATCTGCCAACATTAAATGGCTTAAGAAAGTATTCTTGTCTGTTTTCACCTTTTGTGTTGAATTTCCCAGCAAATTTCATAGGAAAAATCACCTATAGCACAAGTTTTCATTCCATTCAAAGGTAGACTCCAATATGTTTTTGTCAGTGTGAATAAAGGAAGAATAAATAGCTTATCACCTGATCGAAATTCAGACTAAGAAAGAACCATCAAGATCCTGTAACCAATCTACCCATCTCCTTTGCACTTTCTTTTCGGAGAGGGTGGTCCAGCTGCTTCATTCTTCCTCGAAGCAACTTTTGTGTTTGCAGGAGAGTGTTGGGTACTCTGAGATTCTTGATAACATAGAACTAAAGCTGCTCGAGGCCATACACAGTGAAGCTGGCTGCTCTGCCAGCCTTCCTATCAAAGTTTCCATTAGGGCAGACCTATCTTGTATTTGAAGAGAGCTTTTATGTTCTGCTGAGTCTTCTCTTCTCCAAACCAAGTCGAACACCCGAGTCCCTCCAATATTAGGCAGATGACCTGATTTGTAGTCATTTTCTTCACATTTATTAAATGCCTCTGATGGTGTGGCCCCAGCACTGAGCGCAGGGCTCAAGCTGAGAGTGAGCCATGCAGTTTCTCGCCCCCAGTGCCTACTGTATACCTCCCTACACTGCACTTCTCCAGAGGACGCTGGATATGGCAGGAGTGCTTTTATTAATTTCCAACGGCTACTGTGGCAAATTACCATGGATTTAGTGGCTTAAAACAGCCCAAGATTATGATTTACAGTTCTGTAGGCAAGAAATTCAACACGGGTCTCATTGGGCTAAGACCAAGCTGCTGGCTGGGCTGCGTTCCTTTCTGGAGGCTCTGGGGAGAATCTGTTTCTTTGCCTTTTCCAGGCCCTGGAGGCCCTCTGCATCCTTTGGCTTGCAGGCCCTTCCTCTGCCTTCAAAGGCAGCAACCCTGCCTCCCCCTGAGCATTCCTCTGCCGTCGTGTTGCCCTCTGGCTCTTCTCTTCTGTCTTCCTCATCCACTCTTGTGATTATGTTGGGCACTCTGGATGATCCAGTATACTCTCCCTCTTTATTAGCAACCTTAATTTCTCTGCACCCTGATTCCCCTTTGCCATGCACCCTAACATAGTCACAGGTTCTGGGCTTAGGATGTCGTCATCTTTTTTTTTTTTTTTTTGAGACGGAGTCTCGCTCTGTCGCCCAGGCTGGAGTGCGGTGGCCGGATCTCAGCTCACTGCAAGCTCCGCCTCCCAGGTTTACGCCATTCTCCTGCCTCAGCCTCCCGAGCAGCTGGGACTACAGGCGCCCGCCACCTCGCCTGGCTAGTTTTTTTGTATTTTTTAGTAGAGACGGGGTTTCACCGTGTTAGCCAGGATGGTCTCGATCTCCTGACCTCGTGATCCGCCTATCTCGGCCTCCCAAAGTGCTGGGATTACAGGCTTGAGCCACCGCGCCCGGCCAGGATGTCATCATCTTTGGGGGCCGTTATTCTGCCTACCATACCCACTGAGTCTTATATGTGCTAAACATAGCTTCTGTAGCTTGTAATCACATACATTCAGGTTTTGGGCACAAGTAGAAGGTCTTTCATTTGCTTCTGACACGTTTTGTCCTACGTGTTTTGTGTGCTGTGTGCCATACACCATCTCCATTGCCACTGTGTCAGCCTTTCGGGACTCAGAGCTTGTCTTTCAGAATATTGGCTCACCTTTAAGCCTCATTTTATAAGCACATCTACCATAACGTCCTTGGGAAGTGCACCCCAAATTGAGACTATATACTGACTATCAGCTCAATTGAGACATGTTACTGCAGCCAAAAGATGAATATAAAGCTTGTCCAGCCATGTAGGAGGTCTAGCTTACTTAAATACTTCTTTATCATCAGGACTAATGAAAATAAATGAAATGTATATTGAAGTTTTTAATAAAAAGAAACATCGTAAGTTGCAGAAGAGAGCTGGGGTTAGCTGTTCAGAAGCCCTTTCCTATCATAAGGCATCATTGCTTAGCTGTAGTCCGTTAGCTTTAAGGAGTGGAGATAAGTAGCAGTCTTCTCTATCTTTTCAGGGTTTGCCCCATGTGACAACACTGATTTTGAGTACAGAATGTTTGGAAGAGTCTGATCTCTCTTTATTTTCAATTTGTTTTTAAAATAGCCTTTACGTTTCAGAGCAGTTTTAGTTTTATAGCAAAATTCAGTGAAAAGTACAGAGATTTCCTGTTTAGTCCCCCCCTCCGCCCCCCCCACCCCTCAATCCCTGGCCCAAGCCTCCTCTGCTGTCAGCATCTCCTACCAGAGTGGTACATTTGTTACAACTGATGAACCAACACTGACCCCTCACATCATCATCACCCAAGTCCGCAGTTCACATTAGGGCTCCCTCTTGGTGTTCCGCATTCTACAAGTTTGGACAAATGTAAAATGACATGCATTGCCTGTTACAGTGTTGTGCAGAGTAGCTTCACTCTCCTAAAAATCCTGTGTCCCCCAGTCCATTCCCCTATCCCCTCCAAACCTGTTGTAATCATTTCACAATGGTTCTCTTTACTATCTCCATGGTTTTGCCAGTTCCACAAATGTCATAGAGTTGGAATCATATGTTATGTACCTTTTCAGACTGTAAATGCTTAGCAGGGACTTCCTCCAGACATCTTTCTGCTCCACGTAGCTTCAGTGTCTTTGCCTGCTCAGGGTCTGTGGGAGGAAATGCAGAGATCACCTGGGAGGTCACTTGCATTGCACATGAAGGAACTGAGGTTGGCATCATTGTGAGCTCACTCAGTTTTCCATGAAGATCTGTAACTAAACCTAGTATTTAAGATTCCCATTCCAGTGCTCTGTCAACATGCCAAAGGCCATTAAGCCAGTGACTAGTTGGCAGAGACGGGGGAGGGAGCAGTCTATAAATTGGTGAATAACTTGGGCAGAATGAAAAGAGTCTGACCCTGGGGATCATCAAATATCCATCAAGTGGGATGGAGTGAGGATGGCTGAGGAAGGGAGGGAGCATCACACATGATGTGCTGGGAACGGTGCTGAGCATCATATTTATATTCTTTCTTTTTATCCTCATGTGAGGATTGCTGTTGAAATGGTAGGTATTAGTTTTATAAATTTGAACTAAGAGAGACTCAGAGAGGTAAATTACTTTCCCATGGCCACATAACTAGACAGTAGGTTTTAAATCCAGATTTGTCTTGCTCCAAAGTTTCTATTATTCCCATAAATTCATGAGTTTGCCTTCCCAGAGGCAATGGAAGTGCTTCTCCACTTGCCATGTAATCGATCTGTGACACCAGCCACTCTAAGGCCCACACAGGCATGATTTAGGTGGAATTTATAAAATCTTTCTAAGAAATGCGGAGCGTTCCTTTACTTTTGAGGATTGTGAAGAGGACAGCCAAGCCCACTTGGGGCGTTCTTGGGTCTCTTTCTCTTTTTTTGAATTATTAAAGCAACTTTTATTTATTGCCAAGGAGATTTGAGGTGGTTTGCAATAAAAAAAGAGATAAAAGAACATGGAAATCCTTTAAAAGAAGAATACAAATATAAACACCAAGCAACAAATTAGAAAGTCAGAGAGAGGGAAAATCAGGGCATTTGTGTGAAATAAATGACATCAGGCGACGTCCTGGAGGAATCGTTCAGGCGGGAGCATGGCTCTCACTTCCCATGGAAATCTCTAGTTCCCTGTGTCATTTATGTTCCTTATCTGTCCCTACATTTAATCATTTTTGAATATTTGAGTTTCTAGTTGGTGAAAAGAAGTAATAGTGAACTAGATGTCTGAAGCTATCAGAGGTTTTCGTCCCACTAATATTAATACACAGTGAAACTGTGCAGGTCATTGATTTGAGGCCTTATTTGAGTCTCTTTTTTATGTTAAAATAAAAGGTAAGGACAAGATCATTTTTTTTTTTCTTTTTGAGACAGCACCTTCCTCTGTCACCCAGGCTGGAGTGCAGTGGCGCCATCATTGCTCATTGCAGCCTCAGACTCCTGGGCTCAAGTGATCCTCCTACCTTAGCCTCCTAAGTAGCTGGGACTACAGGTACACACCACCATGCCTGGCTAATTTTTTTATTTTTGTAGAGACAGAGTCTTGCTATGTTGCCCAGGCTGATCTCGAACTCCTGGCCTCACATGATCCTTTTATCTTGACCTCCCAAAATGCTGGGGTTGTAGGAATAAGCCACTGTGCCTGGCCAAAATAATTGATTTTTAGTGTTTGAAAGAAAGCATCAGAAAACATGACGGTGGGGAAATCTGGCCGGCACCACCCACCTGTGGTCAAGGTTAACCTCACCAGTGATGAATTAATGTAGATGTAATGTAACTCTTGGTATGATGCAGGACACTTTATTTCTGTGGAACTGTCCCCCTCCAGCCATCATTCCAATCTGTTTATGACACGATATCAGCTCTACCCAAATTGAGGGACATTTTACGAAATACCCAACCGGTACTCCTTGAAAATATCAAGGCCGTGAAAAATAAGGGAAGACTGAGAAGCTGTCACAGTTTGGAGGTAACTAGGAGACATGGTAACCAAATGCAGCATGCTGTCCTGGACTGGATCATAGTTTGGGGGAAATCCAAATAAAGTCTGTTAAATAGTATTAACAGTTAAATAGTATCGCACAAATGTTAATTTTGGTTTTGATAAAGTACCATGATTTTGTAAGGTGTTAGCGTCAGGGGAAGCTGTGTAAAGAGTACACTAGTTTTCTCTGTACTATCTTTGTAACTATCTTATAATACTGTACTATCATAAATCTAAAATTATTTCAAAATAAAACGTTAAAAGAAGCACCAGAACTCCTCTTCCCCCAAGTGGAATATAATTAAGGACCTGCAATCTACAGAGCAGAGAAAAAAGGAATAGTTTGGTTGGAATCCTTCAGCCTTCCTTTGCGTCTCTTTGGAGTCCTCCTGCTGGACCCCTGAGACACCTCTGAGGAACATGAGGGCACCGTGGAGCACAGTAGGAACACAAGTACACTGGCCAATCTCTTAAGGGCCTTTTCAGCTGAAAATGGTATTCTGAGTTTTGCCAAATCTGCCAAGGAGTGGCATTAGAGCAATCAGAGAAGTCAGTCAATCGAGTTGAAGTTTGCTGATCAAGCAAGTGAAAGCTGAGAACCGGCTTGTATTAGGCAAAATGGAAGTTGTTCATAGCCTAACAACAGATGATTCCTGTAGAAAGATGAGCATGAGCCTGATAGGAACTGGTCCAAAGAATGGAAGTAGTGAGGATGGAGACACCAGGCACAGGGGACACTTGGCGGGAACTTGGCCATAGGGGAGCACACACTGGGGCAGTGGCTATAGGGGAACATGGCGAAGGCTGGGTTCTTTCTGGTGGGGGGGGCGGGGCATGGCGAAGGCTGGGTTCTTTCTGGCGGGGGAGGGGGCACCCATGGCGAAGGCTGGGTTCTTTTTGGAGGGGACATGGTCAAGGCTGGGTCTTTTTGGCGGGGGGTCATGGCGAAGGCTGAGTTCTCTTTTAGGAGGGGACATGGTCAAGGCTGGGTTCTTTCTGGCGGGGGGTGGGGGTGCCCATGGCGAAGGCTGGGTTCTTTTTGGAGGGGACATGGTCAAGGCTGGGTTCTTTTTGAGGAGTCATAACTATTACAGCATGTCTGTTCTCATCTAAAGGGCAAGAAACTGAGGATGCAGTATCAAGAGAGGCGATAACTGCCGGGTGGACCTTCCTCAGTCGGCCACGGTGTGGAGTCCACGCGCAGTGGGAGGATTGGTCCTGTGCAGGAACAGGACAGCCCCTCCGGAGTAGTACAGGAGAGGGCAGAGGATGCAGACACAGATCCCGGGAGGCGAGGAAGTGTGGGGTAGGGCCTGTGGATGTTTTTTCTGAGTGCTCTTATTTTCATACACAGAGGCAGGACCGTGAACTGTGAATGTGGAGGGGGGAAGTGGAGCTTTGAAGAAAAAGAAAGCAAGAAATAGTTGCTTGGAAGATTGAGCTACTGAAAGAACTGGAGAAATGACCTGGGGTTATGTCGTGGCACTAAGGAGCCCTTGAAGGTGGTGATCGCGAGTGGAAGGCGTGAGTCCAGGGGCAGGCAGTGGCTCCAGAGTTGGTAAAGGAGGATGTGGACAAGTTAGGGGTGGGAGGGTGAAATGGCGGCAGGGCTGGTGGCACAGAGGTAGGAGAATTGGAGTGGGGCATTAGAGGGGGAGAGGCTGTAAAGATGGGAAGATGGAATGAGGTGGGTCAGAATTCCTGGTAATCACAGGGTCTAGGGTGTGGTCTGTGGTAAGGAGTAGGATCATCAGATGTGATGAGGCCAAGGCACTGAGAAACCACAATTGGAAGGTTTGTATTGAGTAACTGTTGTGGTCCCCAAGGATCATGATAGAGAGAGAGAGATACACACACCAAACACCAAAGACTGATAAAGGCTAAAAGTAAGAGGTGTGGCCTGGAGCTCAGTAGACAACTACTCAGGAGAGAAGGGGATGGATGGTAGAGTCTGATGGCAGGAACTTCGAAGAGGCTGAAGGGCTTTAAGGAGGAGGATGGGATAAAGATCTGGAGACAGTGGTGGGTGCAAGAAGGGCCCCTACCCACTTCCGTGGCCGGTGGTTCAAGTGTGTGGAAGAGAAAGGCATCATTTGAGGGGCGCTGTGGGGCTGTATCCTCAGGAGAGGCAGACTCTGAAGTATGTCTTAGAAATCTGAAAAACACGTACGCCTTTTGAACCGCTATCCACGTCTAGAAGTTTGTTCCAAGGCTACAGAATTAGAGCTAAGTTCTTATTCCCTATTGCTAGACTAATTTAGGTTACAACTTACATCAAGTGGTGAGTTTATGATTTATATTTATTTCCGTTTTTTGGCTTTGCTCTGTTTTTCAGATTTTCTATGATGAGCATGTTTGAATACAGAAAATAAAAATATTTTTATATTTTAAGAATAAAAGAACTATAGTGGTTGCGGGAGAGATTATTAGGTTAACCTGTTAATCTAGGGCCACAGAGGGACAGGAAAGCCTTCAAGCCACCATCAGAGATTTTGTGAATTCAAACTACTTTTTGGTGTAACTTGCAATCCCCTGTAAGGACTTGGTAAGGTCTTTGCTGGTTTATTTAAAAACGTTCTACCCACAGAGAAATCAGTTGCCTAGGTAATAGTTACCAAATACAGAAAATAAATGCTATGTAACTCTGGGTTTCTAACTTTTCACAAACTAATTATACCTTCAACCAAAACATTGGATTTACTTTCACAAATTTGAGCCTGACATCTTAATTCATAACTAGCAGCTGCTGGGGCTTCTGGCGGCCACAAAAATAAGTGAAAATAAAACTAGGTTTTAAACCGACTATTGAATACAGTACTTACATAATGTTCAAATCACATAATCCTTTAAAACGTACAATTGAGGGAATTCTTCGTGGAGAAAGGCAGTGGTTTTGCTGACCTCATCCAGCTGTTATCGTAAGTCTGATCCTTGGTGGCCTCTGACCTCACACGATTGTAATCAAAACCAGCTCTTGAAACTCTTCGTTCCTCTTCGTTTTTCCCTCTGCTCCAATTTTCAGATTTCCCCAGCTGCTGCTGTTGGCAGTTTAATCTCTCCAACCAGCCCTTCTGACGGCTTCTCGAATTCCTCCTTCCCCGGCTGTCAGCTCCCGCATCTGCTCCCACATGTCTTTTTCATCTCACTCGTCAAAATGTCAGGGCTGCAGAACAGCCGCAGTCTCATGATTTGGCTACTCAGTTCAGTTGAACTGAAGTGCTTATTAGCAAAAGATTTCTGTGTTAATTATGCCGATAGAAACTCTGACACACAGATACGCTTAGGGGCATATACCTAGACTAGAACAATTTTTTCCTGCTAAGTTGCTGAATTGGCAGAGAAGCCTATGGACTTCACAGTACCTGAAATCAAAGCAGCACTGTCGGAGAAGACGTTCGATGGGGCAGATCTGTGGAAAAGTTTTATTGCATTTAGTTATATGATACTTGTGTGCGTTTGTGCGTTTTGTCTTGCGAGTGTTGATGTAAGTGTACTTTTGTAGTTTGGGTATTTTTCATTTTAGAGTGAGTATTCTACCTTTATTGCTATTTACTATTGAGATTTTACAAAGCTACAAAGAGCTGCTGTGTAAGCCGCGCTGGTTTACATTTGCTGGTGGTTTGCAGAGAACACCCAGCACCTGCGTTTTACTGGTCACCCGGAAAGATGCCGTCACCTGCTAAATCTCACCAGAGCAGAGGAAATGCCACCACGTGCGGCTGGCTGCCCGCTGTGACATCCTATGAGGAAGAAGGGAAAGAAAACCTAATTCAAGTAAAATATGCTTTTTGGCGGGGATTGGGGGAAGAAAAATAAGATCACAATTCTGCCAGTGCCCTGTAATTTCAGAAGGTACAATTTGCATAATGTTGGCATGGCTTTCTGCATAATAAAAGCATAGTTATATTTTTGACTGAAATCGGCCCTAAATGCTGTCTAGTCAAATTGGTTACTTTCCAGTAATTCTTGTATCCATAGATCTTACATTAAAATACCATGGTTTTACACTTTTTGGTCAGCTTACTAATGTCTGGAGTTTTGTTTGTTTATTTGTTTCCAGTATCTCTCAGGAACCTCGGTGTGAGTAAAAAAGTGGTTCTGTTTCCTGGTAAGAGAACCTGTGACCCGTGCTCACTCACAGACACTTCTGTGTGACGCAGGGCACGGTGCAGGTGGCTGCTCTGCGAGTTTCGAGGGGAAAGTGTCCGCAGCGAGGCCCCGTGATTCACTGCCTCGTGGGGGGTGTCGCCAAGCTTCCCACTGACAGGCAGCCTTCCCCATGTGCTCATGTGGGCTTTGAGTAAACCGCGGTCTCATGACTATGCATGGAGCCCTCAAACCGTCTTGCATATGGCAGGTTCCAGGTCAGCTGACAAACGAAGATTTTGGTGTACTGGATGGTGGCACAGTCTGTCAGTCAACAATGCGGTTTTGGCAGATTTTCCATCGTTCAATTATTTTAATCTTTCACTGCATTTATTCTTATAATATTTTGTAAAGAAAAGCTCCTGAAACTTGTGATAAGAAGTACAAGTTTCAGACAGGAGGCTTTAGACACACATGAGTATCCTTAGGGGAGACATTTTCAGCCACACTCAGGTGCCTGTTGGGTAGCAGGCTGAGTTCTGAAAGAAAACCGACGGAGCACACAGACGCACTGCCAGGAATGTCTCGTAGATGATTGGATTTAAAAGGCAAGGTGAACGCAGCAGTTTTTGAAAATGTATTTTACTCTGTAGTAACACAGCACAAATATTATTTTATATTAATATTTTACATCATTTTATATTACACAGTATTAATATTCATATACATACATTTTAATACCTTAAATCTATTTTTAATTCTGCACATTTTAATTTTATGTGTTTTTGGGAATGCTTTATGTGCGGACTAGCAGACTGCTGGTTCATTCACTATTTATTTTTTATTCTTTTATTTATCAAACGTTTTCTGAGTTTCTTTCATGTGCCAGGCTGAGCTGGGCACTTCAGAAACAAAGATGAGTAAACGCCATCCCTGCCCTCTAGTCAGGGAGACAGACTTGACGCGGAGAATCATGCCCAGGTGTGGGAGGGTGCTGTGCTGGCGCCAGGTGTGAGCGGCCGGGCAGGTCTTCCTGTGGGATTAGCAGAGGGTCGCTTTGCCCTCAGAGCCCTCAGCCCCTGCCTTTTGCTTGGCACATAGTCATACATCACCGTGCGACAGTCTTTGTATTTTCTTCTATAACCCCCCTTTTTTTTTTCTGTTTAAGCTTTTATGTGATGATGAGTATCATATCATGGATGTATCAATTTTTTCCATTCACAGTGTGCTTTCATTGTCATGTCATCTTAATCCTACAGTTCCTAAAGATCCATATTTTTATCCCTATTTTCTAAGAGAGAATTAACTGAAACACAGAAGGGAAGGTGCCTTGTTCAAGATGAATCTGAAAGTGGACGGAGGCAGCAGGACTCACGTGCCATTAATCATTTTTGGAACTGCTGACCTTGGGCCAAGTGCTATCAATATGGAACTGCTGACCCTGGGCCAAGTGCTATCCGGAATGTGAAGGAAATCCACTGGAATGAGACTCAGTTTTGTTTTTCTCAAGAAGCTCATGTGTATTGGGGTTGGGGCACAGATCTATAGACAAGAAAATCTAATAAGAGAGATAAGTGTTAAAATAGAGGTGTGTACTGGGTACCCTGGAAATATACCACAGAGAGAACGATTGTCTGGGCCTGGGAGGGAGGCTTGAGGGATTTATAGAATGTGTTATAAAGGAGAGGATTGCGAAAATGAATTGGGAAGGGCTTGTAGGAATTTGCCAACTTGACAGGGTGAGGAAGCGGGTGGTGGGCAGAGGGGTCAGCTTAGTCAAGTGCATGGAAGAGTGAGGGTGCATTGGGGGAGTGCAACTAGTTTGGAGCAATTGGAGCAAAAAGTGAATGTTTCTGAGGAAGGAATAGTATGTGAGGAAGACGGAGATACAGACAAGGTTCAGCTTTTAAGGTCCATCAGTGGGAAAAGGCAAGGCTAATTTGTAGTAAAATAAATAAATAAATAAATAAATTCCAGATCTCAGTGGCTTTAGACAATAAATCCTTATTTCTTGATCACAGCAGCCTACTGTGGATTGGAGGCTTTCCTGGGTGGCTCTCCTCCACACGGTGACTCAGGGATCCTTGATTTTGTTATGCTGCTGTCTTCAACACACGGTCTGAGTCTGCTACAGGAGAGGAAGGAAAGACGTAGGAAGCCACATTAGATACCCAGCTGTCTCAGCCCAGAAGGGACACATCCCGTTTCCCATCCCTTTGGTCTGAACTAGTCGCCTGGGCCCGTTTAGCTGTGCACTGTCTGGTAACACAGTCTCGGGCAGTTCTACATCTCTGGTGGTCACCTGGTCATGGTCGCCATGCCCTCATCTGTTAGTGTAAGGATTATGGTCTTTACCCTGTAGGTAATGCTAAAGCAGGGAGATGATGTGATCAAATATATGTTTCTAAGAAGGGGCTGTGATAGCAGGGGAAGAAGGGAGACGGATGAGAGTATTATGTGTGTGCATCGTATTCTCTCTTTTGGGTGTGAAGGCCTGGACCCAGGCAGGGGTGGGACCCAGGGACCCAGACAAGAAGTGACAGATTCCTGGGAGTAGACAAAATTGACCGCACTGGGCCACATAGTGGATACGGGGGGCACGAATGAAATTGGAGTAGAGATTTCTGGTTTGGGTCTGCGCATTGCTTCTGAAAACAAGGGGATGAGCAGGTTTTGGGGAAGGAAGTGTGTGAACGTGCCAAGATCTCCATGTCAGCTGAGCGACTTGATCCCTCTCAGGTTCTGCAAGGCTTCTCACTGAAGACATCTTTTCAAGTGTTACTTCAAAGGGTGTTGTTTTTAGTTTTCAGGAGCATCTTTTTAATATCTTCTGCCAAATGGCATTCATCCCTGTAGGAAAGGTAGTGTTAGCATTGGGAGATGTAGTTTGGCCGGTGAAAGGTTGATGGCGGTGGGGTGTTCTTCCTGAGCGCCGAAGGTTGGCTCTCATGTGTTGGGGTCTGCTCTGAAGGACATGGCCTCTAGATTCTCCTGCACTCTGATTTCTTTCTTTTTCATTTTACTAAAAATGCCTTTTCTGTTTCACTTACTCAGAAAAAGCAAGAATCTTCCCTGTGTCTTTTCAGTTTTTAAATGACTAATGGATTGTGTCTGTGTAATCAGCATTTGGTAACACATCGTTGATTATAGCTTCTCTGATGGTCTCCCATCATATTTTATGCTTGTTTGAGATAATGCATGCAAAAACACATTGCACCTGTAATACCCTATGTGAAAAGTATTTTTGTTAGTATTATCACTGTCACTACTAAGTCAATGATATAGCAGCGATGTTTGTCTTTTTATGATTTATTTCAGTCGGTTTAGATGGCTACTATGTTTATTGGTGATTTTGTTTTGTTTACTGAAAACAAGAAAAAGAACCATTTGACCTTCTAGAGGAAAAAAATACACCTGTACTCCTAGAAACCCCAGTAGAAATAGAAGCCCACAGAGAACCACCGATGAGACAATCACAAGAGAAATCATCACCAAGACAAGAACAAACACCTGAGGAACAAGAGTCCTCCGAGCAGCCATGCCGGGACAGCCACACCGAGAGCAGCCGCCTGAGATGCCACAGTCCCCCACACAGCCATTCTCAGGTCCGTCATCCTGAGAGCAGACACCTGAGACGCCGGAGTCCCCCCACACAGCTATTCTCAGGAGAGTCATCCCAAGAGCAGACATCTGAGACGCCGGCGTTACCCACACAGCCATTCTCAGGTCCGTCATCCTGAGAGCAGACGTCTGAGACGCCAGAGTTGCCCATGCAGCCATCCTCAGGACAGTGATGCCAAGAGCAGCCGCCTGAGATGCCGGAGTTGCCCACGTAGCCATGCCTGGTGCGACCATCTCAGAAACACATGGTTCAGGGGTAACAAATAAAACAACAAATACCATGAGAACAAAATGCCAACCATGTTGTGAAGAAAACAGTCAAAAACTAGAAAGGATCACAAGACAAATGAAAATAAAAGTGGACATTTTTTCACATTATGCTAAAGAGGTATAGCTGGTGGAATATTAAAATCGTGAATTTCCTATTTTGGTGGCAAGACTTTAAGTTCTTAAACACATGTTGTAAGCTGAAATTCATGTGGAATTCCTTCCTCTATTCCCTAACTGTGCAAGTCTGGGAGGGAAGAGGCTTGTTAGCAAGACTGGGTGAATCATTGCCCATTGGGGCCAACCTTCCCTTCTTACACTGTCAACCCATACCTGGCATTCCCGAGTGACTTAGCCACCTTGCGAACGGCACGTTTACATAGTTACCTCTAACGTGTTCTCCTTTTCAAAAGTGAATTAAGGCATATTATAATAATTATATGTATCTATTTTTATCTACACGCAACATATACATCTATGTACATGTATTTGCCCATACAGGTGTGTGTATGTGTGTGTATGTGTGTGTGTGTGTATGTGTATATATATATATGCCATATACGTCCTAAATGGACAGTAGCATCCTATGTACATTTTTGGTGGCTAAGAGAATGGACTCTTAAGTCAGTATACAGATTTGGCTTCTCTCCTCATTAAGGGTGTGCACAAGGTCTGTGTCTCAGTTTAGAGCTAATAATAATAACTAACTCATAGGCTGTTGGGGAAATTACTTA